ATATTAGTGCTGTCAAATCGATTAATTGTGATTAATCGCCTTCAAAATAAAAGTTGGCTTACATAATACAATGTGTGTGTGTACTGTGTATATTTATGTATATAAAATACATGCACAAACATGTATATATTTAAGAAATATATGTAATATATATTTATATTTATGTATAATATAAATCATGTACTGTATATATGTATGTATGTGTGTATATATATATACATATATATATATATGTGTGTAAATATTTCATAAATATATACGTGTATCTGTGATATAATATATATTATGTAAACACAATTTTTTATTTTGGATGCGATTAATGGTGATATATATATATATATATATATATACACAAATATAATATTCAAATGCACACACACAACTAACCAAATAATTGTAAATAGTTAATAAGTAGTCAAAATACGTAAGCCTAGTATAAATGGTACAAAATACAGTCTTCAAATATTACATACATCGTTTAATGTTTTTAATTTAGGCAAAACCAATTGAGAACTACAGTTCTAGGATGTATTGAGTGGCTTGTTCTTGTTCTCACGCCCTTCTCTGATTGGCAGAGAGCTGTTCATATCTGATCAGGTGACAGCTGGATGTTCAGTATAGCGGTTTGATCAATACTTAATTTACATTAGAGATTAGAGAGAATCAGCTATGAGACTGACAGCAAACCATATGTCAGGATGACAGCGCTGTGCACTCTTTTATCCTGCTTGTCTCTGTTTCTCTCTCTCTCGTTGTATCATTAAATAAGGCTGTCATTGAGTCATATGAACTCTTTTGACCCTGATATACACGACACCGTGCATTTTTAACTACACATTAGCTTTAGAACTGCATTTTACCTGCATCATGGAGAGGTGAGATATTGCCATCTAGTGTTGATGGTCTGCACTAATTGCTTTCCTCAGTGGAAAGAAAAAACAGCCTCACTTCTCAGTTATTGGTAAACAAGAGAGTTTGTTGTGTAATGTTCAGTTTTTACCCCAAAAACGTCCCAAGCAAACGACCGCTGTGCTAGCGGTCAGGACAGGAGGAAGTGTGTTTTGGTAATGAATTATAGATGAGGTGCTTTGTAATTCGAGTACGTCTTTTGTTTACCTCTTTGAATGCCTGATGAGGTTTCTGTACCCTTCATTTACAAATTATGCTAATTGAACCTGGCAGTTTGTCATGTACGGCCGCCTCTTGTTCGATGTGACCTTTTGTTGACACCTGCTCTTCCTGTTTCCAGTGCCTTTCAGGGAAACGCCTTCCTACACAAATCGCCGGTGCGTGACTGGAGGCGACACGCTGACATCATCACGCTCGCTGCCTCGCTCCGCCTCCGACAACAATCTGAACAATGTGGCTGACACAGGTCCCGCCCACTCGCCTGTGCTGTCTCTGAGGAGCCTGCCCCCTCTGGCACATGCCGGGATCGACGCGGCGGCCGATGGCAGCCTGCAGAGCACTGGCAGCTCGCTCTCCTCGCACTCCCGCTCGCCCTCCCTCCAGCGCGTCAGTGAGGAGCCCGGCACGCACGCAGTACGCCGACACACATCCCTCACGCACTCCCACAGCCGCGGACGCCTCAGGTGAGCATCGCGCATCCACAGTCCTGGTTTGCACCTGCGGAACTCTGACGAAAGTTTTACAGATTTCCACCCGACGTTTGTAAAAATTACCTGTTCATTGGGTGTTTGATTATTAAATATTTTTGCTAGTTTGATTACACACCGGTATCCTTAAAGGGTTAGTTCACCCAAAAATTAAAGTTCTGTCATTAATTACTCACTGTCATGTCGTTTCAAACCCGTAAGACCTTTGTTCATCTTCGGAACACAAATTAAGATATTTTTGATAAAATCCAAGAGCTTTCTGACCCTGCATAGACAGCAAGGATCCCACCACGATCCAGACTAAGTCCCAGAAACGTAGCAAGGACATTGGTAAAATAGTCCATGTGACATCAGGGGTTCTGTAATTTTACAAAGCTACGAGAATACTTTTTCTGCACAAAGAAAACAAAAATATCGACTTTATTCAACAATTCTTCGCCTGCTCATCTGGTCTGCAGCGGCGTGCCGCCATTGTGGAGAGAGAATCACAACGCATGCACTTGCTTCCGGTTCATGTAAACGATGCATGTGCGTGTTACATAAGCAGCAGCACCATGCGCATGTGTCGTTTACATGATGTGAAAGCAAGCGCATGCGTTGTGATACTCTCTCCACAATAGCGGCACGCCGTTGCAGACCGGATGAGCAGGAGAATACTTGTTGAATAAAGTCGTTATTTTTGTTTTATATCTTAAATATCTTTTAAATTTGTGTTCCGAAGATGAATGTCTTACAGGTTTGGAACGACATTAGGGCGAGTAATTAATGACAGATTTTTGGGTGAACTATCCCTTTAATATACTATATGGGTTAAATGTTTGACCCAACATGCTAGGCAGTCCCCCCATACCCCCCCCACACACACACACAACTATTATTCAAAAATTACTGTAAAGTACTGGTGGATTAAAAAGTTGCGATTAACCCAAAATGGCTTGTAAATGAACCCCATAGAATAGCCAGAAAAAAAATCTAAAAAAGTTTTGCATATGTGCTTCATGTGATACAGTGGGCTTTATAAGTTTAAAATCACTAACACATGCAGAATGACTATAGTAACAATGCAGGCAATAGTAATAAGCAAAAGATATAAATATATTTATAAGAAACGACACCTAAAAATGGGCAAAAATACTGGCAAAAGAAAGACAGTAACACTTTAGTATAGGGACCAATTCTCACTATTAACTAGTTGCTTATTAGCATGCCTATTATTAACTTATTGGCTGTTTATTAGTACACACAGCAGGTTGAGGAGATTACCCCCTTCTATGTAAAGCGCTTTGAGTGCCCAGAAAAGCGCTATATAATGTAAGGAATTATTATTATTATTATTATTACTTATAAACCAGCTGGACCACAAAACCAGTCATAAGGGTCAAATTTTTTTAAATTGAGATTTATACCTCATCTGAAAGCTGAATAAATAAGCTTTCCATTGCTGTATGGTTTGTTAGGATAGGACAATATTTGGCTGAGATACAACTATTTGAAAATCTGGTGTCTTAGGGTGAAAAAAAATCTAAATATTGAGAAAATCGCCTTTAAAGTTGTCCAAATTAAGTCCTTAGCAATGCATATTAGTAATAAAAATTTAATTTTGATATATTTACGGTAGGAAATTTACAAAATATCTTCATGGGACATGATCTTTACTTAATATCCTAACGATTTTTCACATAAAAGAAAAACGATAGTTTTGACCCATACAATGTACTGTCGGCTATTGCTACAAATATACCCCAGCGACTGGTTTTGTGGTCAAGGGTCACATATTCTGCATGACCATATTCTACATCCCTAATCCTAACTACTTTACTAACTATTAATAAGCAGCAAGCATTAAGAGTTTGTTGAGGCAAAAGTCATAGTTAATGGTTTGTTAATAGCAAGAATTGGATCTAATATTAAAGTGTGACCGCATTTTTCCATGTTTATATCCATCCCCACCAAACCAGAATCTGCAGATTCCTTCTGGGCTTGTGAATATTCATTCCTCCAGTAACAGCACTGTCAAATAATCAATGATTAATTGTAACCGGGTCATTGTAAGAGGGGTCAAACAATGACAAATTTTGTTTCTATTTTTAAAATCTTCACTTGCAAATGTATTATGGTGGTACCATGATTCACTGGTACCATAGGATTTGGACTATAGTATTTATTTTTTGTTCCCTCAGGGTGAAACTATTGAAGGAGTGATTTGAAAATACAAATAGTAATATACATGATAATTATTAGTACTGTCAGTTTGACATGTTAGTCAAATTAATCATAATCAATAAAAAAAATAGAATTTAGCTGAACTAGAAAATATATATATATACTGTATGTCTTGTTTACCATTCAGTTTGATTTAAATATCCTTTATAAAAGATAAATTTAATTGGGTACTCTGAAATATACCATGGTACTGAAATTCATGTTGAATCGCATTTACATGGTATTTCCAAGAATGCCATTATAGTAGCATGGTATCATGGTGCTTTGAAATATACGATAATACGTCCAAGAACAGGATGCCACTACCCTGTTACATGTTCAAAGTACCATAGTATTCCCATCTGATTCCATCACTGTACCACAGAACGGTCACAGTAACTCTAAGAGTAATGCCATGATAGTTGTTAATCATATTCCCATGCATGGTACATAAATGATACTGTAAGATACCTCACGAAATGCCATGGTATTATGATTAAATCGGTTGTTTTCAATGTATATGTTTTATGGTGATACTGTAGTGTTTTTCAAAGGCGGCAATGTGGGTAGTTTTGTGAGTGTGTTTTATGAGTTATCACAAGCCATTTTATTTAAGGCTGCTGAGACCTGTATTGAATGAAATCGCTCTGATTTCTCTGCTCGTTCTCCTCCATCTAAATTACTCATAATGTTGTAATCTATCACATTTTCACAAAGCAGCATTTGATCGACATCCTGCTTTTAAATCGTGCTATTCAAATGTTTAATATATATTCAGATTAGACTCTCCTCTCCTGCAGAGCTGCAGGACATTGCTGGAATCGACTGTGTTTTGGGACTCCAACAGGCCTTATTGAATTTCCCAGCAATATTTTTAAATTTGTGTTCCGAAGATGAATGTCTTACAGGTTTGGAACGACATTAGGGCGAGTAATTAATGACAGATTTTTGGGTGAACTATCCCTTTAATATACTATATGGGTTAAATGTTTGACCCAACATGCTAGGCAGTCCCCCCATACCCCCCCCACACACACACACAACTATTATTCAAAAATTACTGTAAAGTACTGGTGGATTAAAAAGTTGCGATTAACCCAAAATGGCTTGTAAATGAACCCCATAGAATAGCCAGAAAAAAAATCTAAAAAAGTTTTGCATATGTGCTTCATGTGATACAGTGGGCTTTATAAGTTTAAAATCACTAACACATGCAGAATGACTATAGTAACAATGCAGGCAATAGTAATAAGCAAAAGATATAAATATATTTATAAGAAACGACACCTAAAAATGGGCAAAAATACTGGCAAAAGAAAGACAGTAACACTTTAGTATAGGGACCAATTCTCACTATTAACTAGTTGCTTATTAGCATGCCTATTATTAACTTATTGGCTGTTTATTAGTACACACAGCAGGTTGAGGAGATTACCCCCTTCTATGTAAAGCGCTTTGAGTGCCCAGAAAAGCGCTATATAATGTAAGGAATTATTATTATTATTATTATTACTTATAAACCAGCTGGACCACAAAACCAGTCATAAGGGTCAAATTTTTTTAAATTGAGATTTATACCTCATCTGAAAGCTGAATAAATAAGCTTTCCATTGCTGTATGGTTTGTTAGGATAGGACAATATTTGGCTGAGATACAACTATTTGAAAATCTGGTGTCTTAGGGTGAAAAAAAATCTAAATATTGAGAAAATCGCCTTTAAAGTTGTCCAAATTAAGTCCTTAGCAATGCATATTAGTAATAAAAATTTAATTTTGATATATTTACGGTAGGAAATTTACAAAATATCTTCATGGGACATGATCTTTACTTAATATCCTAACGATTTTTCACATAAAAGAAAAACGATAGTTTTGACCCATACAATGTACTGTCGGCTATTGCTACAAATATACCCCAGCGACTGGTTTTGTGGTCAAGGGTCACATATTCTGCATGACCATATTCTACATCCCTAATCCTAACTACTTTACTAACTATTAATAAGCAGCAAGCATTAAGAGTTTGTTGAGGCAAAAGTCATAGTTAATGGTTTGTTAATAGCAAGAATTGGATCTAATATTAAAGTGTGACCGCATTTTTCCATGTTTATATCCATCCCCACCAAACCAGAATCTGCAGATTCCTTCTGGGCTTGTGAATATTCATTCCTCCAGTAACAGCACTGTCAAATAATCAATGATTAATTGTAACCGGGTCATTGTAAGAGGGGTCAAACAATGACAAATTTTGTTTCTATTTTTAAAATCTTCACTTGCAAATGTATTATGGTGGTACCATGATTCACTGGTACCATAGGATTTGGACTATAGTATTTATTTTTTGTTCCCTCAGGGTGAAACTATTGAAGGAGTGATTTGAAAATACAAATAGTAATATACATGATAATTATTAGTACTGTCAGTTTGACATGTTAGTCAAATTAATCATAATCAATAAAAAAAATAGAATTTAGCTGAACTAGAAAATATATATATATACTGTATGTCTTGTTTACCATTCAGTTTGATTTAAATATCCTTTATAAAAGATAAATTTAATTGGGTACTCTGAAATATACCATGGTACTGAAATTCATGTTGAATCGCATTTACATGGTATTTCCAAGAATGCCATTATAGTAGCATGGTATCATGGTGCTTTGAAATATACGATAATACGTCCAAGAACAGGATGCCACTACCCTGTTACATGTTCAAAGTACCATAGTATTCCCATCTGATTCCATCACTGTACCACAGAACGGTCACAGTAAC